TTCTTCTTCTTCTTCTTCTTCTTCTTCTTCTTCTTCTTCTTCTTCTTTTTCTTCTTTTTAAGGAAGAAAGCAAGAGACTTGAACCTTGCTTCTGGGGGGGCCTCACCCGGCTCCCTATTGTCATTTCTATAAATAAAGCTTCCCCTCCCCCTCCTCTGCGTTTATTCGTGTAAGTAAAGTGGGGGGAGGGCAGGTAGGCTTTTGCGGACCCAGGCCCTAGGGTCCCCTCCTGCATCTCCCCCCGCCCGCCCCCACCCCCGCGCTCACAACCCACCCCCGCCCCGAGGTTCGCGGCTCCCGTGCGGGGGGGGGGGGGCACTAGAGCGCGGGGGGGCCTCCGTTGGGCCGGCCAGGGGGCCCTCCAGCTGCGCCTGCGGTGCCACCCGAGCGGATCTTGGTGTTGGGCAACTTGTGGTCTTTTTTCCACTTCATGCGCCGGTTCTGGAACCAGATCTTGATCTGGCGCTCGGACAGGCAGAGCGCGTGGGCGATCTCCACCCTCCGGCGCCGCGTCAGGTAGCGGTTGTAGTGAAATTCCTTCTCCAGCTCCAAGACCTGCTGGCGAGTGTAGGCTGTCCGAGAGCGCTTGGGCTCCCCGCCGGCATAATTGGGGTTTACTGGACACACACAGAGAGAGGGAGAAAGAGAAAGTTTTATTGCCCCGAAAGGGAGGAGGGAGAGCGCTTTCTTCCAGCTAGCACAGTGTCTCCCTCCCTCCCTCCCCCGCCACCTCTTCTTCCTCCAGAGGGGGGTGGGGACGCCCAGGGAAGAAAGCGGGCCCCCAGGAAGAGAAAGAGACCTCAAAGTTTTGGAGGGTTGTGTTGTCTCCACGTTGTTGTTTGGGTGTCTGGAGAGGGGGTGGGGGCAGTGAGGAATCTTCACAAGGTTTTAACCTCCTCTCTGCCCCCTTGGCCTGGGGCCCGGGATGGGAGAATGGGGGGTGAAAGAGGGAGGGGGGCTTCCCTAAACCTTTCTTCTGCTAGTTCCCACCCTCTGTGCTCAGATTCCATGTAGCGCCTGCCCCCAGTAAAAACTTTTGCCCACTTCTGAAGCCAAGGAGCCAGACTAGAGGAAAGAAAGGAAAAAATAAATATTGGGAGTTGACTCAACTCTCCCTTCAAATACAGATTACCTCCTCCTCCTTCTCCTCCCCCACCCCACACACCCCTCCCCAACTTGCAACTTCACTGAGACTGCATCTCCCAGGCGAAAAAGTCGCTGGTGAGAATGGCAAAGAGGATGGGGGAACCGACTTCAAAGGCGCGGGGCCCACCAGGCCATAAAAATTTATGGGGGATGTAATTATGTGGCTCTGAAAACAGGCGACCGTAAATCTCCGGCAATGGCGAGTTTATAGCGGGGACAATTGGCTTCCCTCAGCTCCCCCCCCCATGCCTCCGAGGTCCCTTCGGTGTAAAGCACCGGGGGTGGGAGGGGGAAGGGGTGCCCACGCACTCACCCGTGCTCACGTGAACTTTGCGCATCCAGGGGTAGACGACGGGCTCTTTGCACGCGGAGTGGGACGGGCTGGGGTGCAGGGGGTTCTGGGCGCAGGGAGGCGGCGGGGGGCTGCTGCTGACCGCCTCGCAGCGCTGGCCGGGCTCCGAGAGGAGGGCCCCGGAGGGCGGCGGCGCAGGAGCCCGAGGGGACAGCCCGGGCGGTGGCGGGGGCGGCGGGGGTGGTGGCGGAGGCGGCGGGGGCCCGGGGTCCCGGCAGGCCGCGTAGCGCTGCACCGTGCACGCCGCGCGCCTCCCGAAGCCCGCCTCCGGCTGGAAGCTGCTCTCTCGCCTCTGGCCGCCGGCGTAGTACCCCGGCGAGTGGTCGCTGGGTAGGTAATCGCTCTGTGAATATTCCTCGCACGGAGGGAACTTGGGGTCGACATAGTTTGAGTTGATCAAAAAAGAACTCATAGCCATTAATTTCTGGGAATTGCCCACAAAATATACTAAAATTTATTCCGACCCCTGACTCGTTTTCCTGTTTCCGAAAGCCCTCCTACTTACTGTCAAGTGAACAAAGTTAGGGGCCCACGTGATCCTCGGAGCCAATGGCCGCCCCGCCTGCGATTCCCGGATAAGGAAATCTGCTCACCCGGACCCTACTCCAGCCAAAGAGGTCTATTTCCCCTTCTTCTCTTTTCCCCCTCCCCACCCACCCGACACCAGGATTTACATAGGGCTCCTGCAGGGCGACCGCCTCCTCGCCCAGCTCTCTCCGGGATCAGAGAAAGAGAGTGAGAGAGAAAGAGGGGGAGAGAAAGAGAGGAAGAGGGCAGGTTGCCGCCGGAGGGCCTGTTGGGGCGCTGGGCAGAGAACAATCCCTGGATCCCCTCGAAGTTGGGGCTCTCGGTGCAGCCCCCTCCTGTCCGGCCTCACCGCCCCGCATTCTCTGCCTACAATAGGCGCCCCCATCCCCTCCTCACGATGGGAAGGAGCCCAGGAGGCTGTGTGGGGAGTTAAGTTGAGGGGCAGACTGGGGGCTCCGCCTAGAGAGAGGAACCCGCGTGGGGGCGAGAGGGCACTGAGCACCGGGCTTTTCTCTGCAGTCGCCTGGGAAGGGGTAGGGAGTGAAGAGAGGAGGCGTCGGGAGCAAGCAGGCGGGTGCAGGAGGGACTTGTCAGAGATGAATGGAACCGCGGGCGGATCGATAGGAAATTCATGCACTAATTCGGGGAGACCTCGCCTTCCAAATCGCATTTAGCTGCGCTATTAGTTTGGCTGTGTCAGTCAGTCCTTCCGTTCCCCTCTCTTACCCAGTCCTCCCCTTACCCCACACGGCCCACGCCGAGAAACGACTTGGTTCCCCACACTGAACGTGAGTGCTGGAGTAAAAATCTTGCAACTTTTGAGAGCACACTGAATAGCAATTTGCTAATTCCAGAACCACCCGAGCAATGCTAACCACGGTGTCCAGCCCCAGCCGTTCTAATTGCCGCTAATGCAGCTGCGTCTGCAGTGAACAGAAATCTCACATCCTTATGATGCTGGAGGTAGGAGCCCTAGGGGTGACCCCCACACACAATAACACCCCTTAGTAATTGCATATTTCCAGGGCATCTTGTTCTGATCCCAAACGAAAAGGCAACCTCAACATCCGTTTGAAAAACGATTTTCTTTGCCTTCGCACACTGACAATAGTCATTTTTTCCAGATTTTCAGTAAAGCCTCCCTGATCCCAGAATAGAGAATAAGTGGGCTTGGAGGAGAGGATAAAACACCACCACCAATATTAACCTATTAAGAGAAGTGAAAAGGGACCAAGCCTTCCGGGGGCAGGCATGGAAGATTTCAGGTAGATGATTCCTCCATCTCTAACCACTGAGGGAGGAAAGGAAAGAGGAAGGAAAAAAAAAAAAAGGAAGGGGTCTTCGTGTGGTCAGTCACCAGATGGTCCTCTTTTTGGGAAAAATATTTCTTCGGGAAAAAAATGAGCGGAGTGTTTATGTCAACTACATATTCCCCTAGATACGAATTTGTGACCACAAAATTCCTTACACAAATTCGGATCTACAGGGTATATACAGAAGACAGACAGATCTTCTTGGCCCAGAAAATTTCCAGTTCTCCTACTTTCCGCGCCTTCTTCGTTTGGGGTGTGGTTTCAATGCTTTGATTTTATTTCGTTTTGTTCTACGTTTGAGCTCTGGGAGCAGGAAAAGACACTGCGGGTCCATTTTGGGGATTACAAGGTTTTCAACTCTCTTTCTCTTCTATCAGAGAGAAATAGAAGCAGCCGGTCCCGCAAAGGGACGCGAACCTCGGGGCCACCGCACAACACTGGGCGGCGCATGAATTATGAGATGTAAACATTAGCTAAGCACAAAAGGAGGAAGGGTCATCCCGAGGCTGCAGCGAAGTCAGAATCAGGCCCTTCTGGGTGCCCTCGTGCCCCTCCCCTCCCCCCCAGGACTTTTATTTTTTTAAAGAAAAACAAAACCCCAATCGGCTCCTCCGTGCCCCTCGTAGCCTTTAGTTTGCCATCAAACGAATATCTAGATATTTTCCAAGGCGCTTCTTGGTGAGGGGAGGAGGGAGAGGTGGCTGGGTGTGAAGGAGGTGTCATAAAAGTCCTTTTGGAAAAATTCAATGGTAAAAAGAGAGAGAAACAGCTGTAAAGAAAAATGCTGGGAGACCAAACAGATGGGGCCCCGGATATTTAATGACGGGCAATTCCGTTTACAACCTGAGAAAAAGATCAAAGGCGTTTCATTTCCGAATGAAGGGCAATGAAGAACCATAAAAGATGCAGCCAGATGATATTCCGGCCCCTCCCAGCCTCCCGCACCTCCTGGGGCCAGAAAAGGGGGATAATCCCTGAAGTGTGTGGAGGAACCCCGTTTCCCCCACCTCCCCAGCCTCAGGCGGGCTCTCTCTGTCTAAATTTGCTCATTCCGCCACCTGCTAGGGTCTCTGGCCGTGGGACCAAAATGGGGATCTGGTAAACCTGGGGGAATCTGGGGTTTACAAATGAACTTCCCAAGGGTCCCAGTAACCACTGAATTTACTAAGCTGGGAGCCTGGGATTGGGCTGGAGGGAACTGATTCCTAGACTGAATGCTGAGACCATCGAAGGGTGAGGGGAATTGGCACAGAGAAAGCCTCTACCTTGCCCAGACTCCCTACCCATCTCCCTGAGAAGTACTTGCATACTTAGTGATGGAGTCAGAACGATATCAATTTCATTAACAAATACAGCAACAACACAAAAAAAACAACCTTCTAACCACCACATTGCAGAAGTCTCTCCCCATCCCCATTCCTGGGACTCTTGCAGGTAGGTAGGAGGAGTGCTCCCTCCCACTTGCCAGAAACTAGGTCCAGAGACCTTTTGATTTTTCTATCCCAAATCTAGATTGCCAATTTTGGCCTCGGGCCTGATTTCTAACACCAACACTCTCCCAGCCAGGCTGACTTGCATATATTTGAAAAATCACACACACACACACACACACACACACACACACACACATTTTAATTACCTTTGCCAAGAGAGGGTCCAGTAGACCCCCATCTGGGCACCTAAGGAGACGAGTCTGGCCCTGGGCCCACAGACAAAATGCCTGGGTAGAACCCCCACCAGCCCCCCAGCGTCAAGCAGGGATCTTTCCAAGTCTTGTCAAAGGCCACTTAGTCAGGGGTTCCACGACCCATTCCAACTGGCCAGGCCCCTCCCCCACCCCATACCTCCTGTCCTTCTCAACTCGCTCTCTGAAACCCGTCCAACTCAGCCGGCTTTTCGGAATTTTGGGAGGGCCGCTAGGCTGGCCACCGGGCCTCTCTGCTGCTCTACACTTCACAAAGGATGCAGCCCAGGTGCTCGGAGCACCCCAAGAGAGAGGTATGGGAGGCAGAGCCACTGCGGGGCTGGGTATGGCTGCTCCTGGGGACAGAGCTCAGAGATTTTCTCTGCGGCGCGCTGGGAGCCGCCACCTGCCCATCCCACCGAGGCGCCGCAGCCCCCCACCCCAGCCGAGTGCAGCCGCGATGGGTGGGGGACAAGGTTTATCAGGGACTCCCCAGACGGATTTCACCAACACCGGAGGCTGCCTCTCCCCTCCGACCCCAAAAGAATACGAACACGAGTACTCGTAATAAAAATAAGAAAAGGCAAGGGCTCTGCGCGCGCGTCCCGAGCCACCTCCCCTGCGCTCCCGGGTCGTTCGCTCCCCGGCTCGCCGGCCGCCTTCCCCTGGCAGCCACAGGTTGCTAAAGTGACCTCTCGCTGCTCAGCCCCCTCCGCTGTCCCGGGCGCGCCCAGCCCGCACGGAATCATCTACCTTTTGTCGCCAGGGAGAGAGCACAGAGCAAGGGAGGGAAAGCGCAGGGCCGAGGAGGCGAGCCCCCAGCCGGCCGGCGCACCGGAGGCCGCACGGAGTGGAAGGCCCAGAGGGGGGAGCGGGCAAGAGTACTCACCGGGCGGCTCACCGCGCCCTCCCGCCGCAGACCCGCCCGCGGGCCCGCTCGGCCCCAGATGAGCTCGCTCTCGTCCACTATTGTGTGTCCGGAAAACCGAACCGCGGCTGCGGGCACCGCCGCTACGGGCCCCCTTGCAGGCCGGAACAAGACTTTTTTTTGATGTGTTTTTGTTTTTGAAGCGCAAGTTTTCGTATTAATCTCATACTTTGGCAGTCTTTGTTAAACAGCTAGGCGCGTCACGAGGCTCTCGAACATTTTAATAATTTTTAGACGCCGTGACCTACGGTTCACCCCTCTCCGGGCCTCCCCCACGAGCAGGCAGTTACTATAATACGCTCGCACAGTTCGCTCGGTCATATTGAATTTTGCGCAGGTCATTACTTGGGAGAAAAATGACGGAGCAGGAATTTGATTCAGCTCATCCTCTTCAGCTCGACTTTTTGCCAGAACCTTCTCTTCCCTTCACCCAACCCCCACCCCCTAAAAAGTCCCAGGATGGTAGGACTCAGCCTACCCCACCTCTGCCTTGATATTCCATCATTCCTATTTTCTCGTCTGTTCTGGTTCCCTGGGCAAGGTAGGAGAGGGTAGGATTCCATAGGGGTTCCCTTTGGGGCCTGGGAAGGGAGGACAGCCCCTGGAGAAATGGAAATGTGGCCTTGGGACTCGGGGTCCCAGAGAGCAGGCCTGAGCCAGAGCCCCCTTCCCTCCTGCCTGCCCTATTAAATGGCTGCATTGGCAGGGCCTGTATCCCTGCCCCCTTGCATACTCCCTCTGCCTTATTCCCTCCCCCAGTGCCAGAGATATCCCATTTCTGCTCAAACTTTGGAAGTTCCAGGTCCCCAAGAATGACTCCTCCACCTCCTGGGGCTGAGATTTGGTCCCTAGGCCAGCATATCTGGGGAAGACGGAGAGAATCCTGAGAGAGGAGCTGGACCGTACTGGTCAAAGCAGGAGGACTTGGTTTTCAGAGGCTTTAATTTCCCTTTAAAAACAAAACAATACACCCTCCCCCCAATTTTTGTTTAAAACCACTTCTCATCTATACAGTTAACTCTTTTGCCTACCCCTATCACCACCACAAGGACGTACAGGAGCAAAGCAAGGAGACATTAAAAATACTCAGAGATTTTCTCTGGTTTGTCTCTCAAGGATTAGAATTCTTGGACTGTCAACAAGACATTTTCCCCCTTTCTCTAGCCTCCAAGGGACCAGCAGAGGTAGGTCAGGTGACTCCCCTACCACCCAGTTTAAGTCTAGGGGGAGTGTCTGCAGGGAGAGACCCCTCTGGTACAAGGAGGTGAGAGAGACCATCCCAAGGCACCCAGTTTGGCCTAGGATGGCAGAGGACTCTCTTTCCCCATCCTGAGGCCCCTCCAGCCCAGGCCCTTTGGCTGCTCCAGGCTATTCCACAGAACCATAAATTCGCTAGCATTCTGTTCCGGAAAAGGAGGAAAAAGAGACAGTGGAGGAACAGAGTCTTCAGTTCAGCCTTTGACCTCTACCTCTTCTGGTTCTCGGGAATCCCTTCCTGGCTTGACTCCCCAGAGCAACTTGTCTCAAGGCTGAATAGAAATGGGGACCCACACTCAGTTGGTTTAGTCAAAAACTGGGGCAAATTGATTTGAAATTTGACATTAAGTTGTTGTCTCTTCCGGCCATAATTCAAAAGGCGTTTTTATGAAAACTCTCAGGTTATCTCTATTCTGGTAGGACAAACACCCACAGCGCACCTCCTATATCCAATGCTTGGAAGAGAATGTGATGACATTTCATAACACGACAAACAGTCATTTAAAGACCAAAAATAGGCATATGCCCTGGTGTTATAATTAGAGAGTCTCTGTAAACATTTTACTTATGAGCTAAGCCTAATGCATAGATTCAAGGTTCATTTCAGGTCGCTTGTTTTAACTCCAGTTAAAAAGATCTCTGTGAGGCCATTCAGTATTTTTCCTTCTCATTTCCCCTCCCTCCTCCAAATAGGAAGAGAGGGATTCTGGATGAACATACAAGTGGAGGTTTGGGAGAGACTGCAAGAATTAGCTAGCCAACGTTCTTTCAATATCCAACTTCTTAAACCCAAGCAATTTGGAAAGAGGAATGGGAGTTTAGAAACCCTCCAGTCCTGGCCCACTGTCATGGACTCCAGCTGCCTGGACCCAGCCTGGGGGTTAGGAATCCCTGAAGAATAGGCCTGTCTGAGGGATAGGGGGAGTTGGGGGAGTCAGCTCTTTGGACCCATTGGGGGAAGGAGGGTGGGGCTGATGTTGGTGAGAATAAGGCCTTCACCTTGGAAGCCGCCTTTGGCCCCATCAAACGTCCTGTAAGGATGCGTGGGTAATTGGATTTTTTTTAATGTGTGCGGCTGGGTAGGTTTTAATTAAATTTTATATGGTGACTCAAAGGTTATCTTTGGGAGAGAAAATTGCGCAGAGGATTCGCCATGCCCCCAGCACTCTTGCGCAGTTCCCCACCCCACCAGCCCGGGGGCTTTTGGAGAA